AAATAACATTAAAGTCTAAGGTTAAAACAGCAAAATCTAAATTAGTTTCAAAAAGGGCAATTAAGACTGATGATAAATAATAAGACTGATAAGTAAATACTATGACAAGATAATCTTACTTCATGTTAACTGACATTACTCTATCTACCGAAATCCAAAATATGCTATTCGTTTGGCTTAACTTATTTTGTCCTTATTTAAGCTTTTTTAATAACATCTATATATTTCCAAAGATTATTTTATTTCTTTGTAAATCATACAAATTGTTTGGAACTAATTGAATATCATTTTCTACTTAGTAAAAAATGATTCTCACTCATTATCTTAGAAGTTTTTGTTTATTTAGAAATTTTTATCACAATTGCGCAATCTTCAATTTGTTAAGCAACAATCAAAATAATGTTTATTAACAATATTAAAGATTACAAAACCAAATCTTATGCAAAGAATTGATTTACTTTTTTAATTTAAAAAAAAAATAGGAATTTACCTTTCCAAGGTTCGAGGGAAAACTATGACTATATATATGTGGGAATACTATAAATATATACTAATTTTTTTTCTTGAGTTAATTTTTATTCTTATCTCACAATTTTTCAATCGTTACTTATGTCAATTCCTCCAACACATGAATCGAACATGTTTTAGAAGACCGCTGGATAATGAAAAAACTTGAGAAATTAACTTCTTGATGTGTGATGAGTTTAAACTTTTAAAGCAAATAATTTACCACTACACCACTTCTGTAAAACTATTATTAGGTGTTTATGATAATTTAGCAGTTACACTGACGAGAAGTTAATGAAATTTAGTAATTTATCAAATTTATGTTTGTGTGAATAAATAATTTATGCTGTTTGTAATAATTAAGTTCTTGTGACAATTATTTGTTTATGGTTACTGATTTTTTCTTGCAAAGTTATTGTTATGTCAAAAATGTATAATTTATGTTTATTTTTGTTAAAATACTAAAATACTAAATAAAATAATTACTTACATAAAATCCAATCATTTGATATTGATCTTTGTTCAATAATTCCTTTTAACGAAAGGAATTGAAAATTAACACAAAAGACAAGAAAACCGTTAGAAAATTATTTGTTTAAAGGCATTTCTATGCAACTGTAAACAAGATATTAATGCAACACAACTTCTTCAAAACTTACCGATAAATAGGAATTATATTTTTTCACCTCCTATAATTAATAATTATTCATTATTTATAACATATATTAGGAATGACAATTAATACTATAAATAATATAAAAAAATAATTTTTTTATTAAGTATAAAGTATATATATATATATATATATATATATATATATATATATATATATATATATATATATATATATATATATATATATATATATATATATATATATATATATATATATATATATATATATATGTATATATATATACACATATACATATATTTTAAAAAACTTTAAGAAAAAAATGTGAAAAAGGGCAACTTTTTCCCATTCTTTTATGCATGCAAATAAATTGGGTTAATTTTTGATTAAAGTTAAATACTGTATCCCTTGCCACCAGCATGCTAAAATAAACGTTTAACACGCATTTGCGGTAATATTGAAATAGTTAAATGCGCTACGGTAATTATAAGTTACAAATGGCAAAGAGCATACTTCTTGTTGCCGTTTATGCAATGTAAAAATGTTACAAACTTAAATTTAATAAACAGTACTGCATATTTGATAGCTTATTAATTAATAAAAGAAATGGGTTAGTGTGCTTAATTTGCCATGACTCTGAGGAAAGATGATGATACCTGGCTGGTAGGAAAACGCATATTGGAATTGTCAGCTTGCAGTGTCCTTAAAAAAGTAGATAATATTCTTTTGCTCTTTTATTCGATAGATCAATTTAGGAAGCGCTAGAAGCATTTTTAATGTTGCTGTGCAGAAAATTGTTAATAAAGTTCATCATCAATGGGCGACAACCAACATAGAAATGCAACATAAATACAAGGTAAAATCAAAGATTCTTGACGTGTGTGATAACTATAAGACACTGCAGAAGATAAGATGCAAATCAATCAAAGGAAAAGAAATGGTTTTTTTCACTCTAAATGCTCAGACGGGAATAGAAAGCGACAGAATTTGTATCTAAAAATGAAAGATTTTGAATTCTTGAGTGCTCCTTAAGTTCAAAAAATTGTGTGTCCGTGTGTAGAATACAAAATGTACATGCGAGAGGTAGAGCCAAAAATGAAAAGAAATAAGATCTTATTGAGTTAGAAAATTGATTAATAGCAAAACTAGTAATCCTGTTTTTAACGATTGGTGAATCTTCAGGTTAACAATCAAGATGTTTAAGTACTGACAGCAGTTCTATTGATTTCCAGTAGAAAAGTTTGACAAGTGTGGGAAAGGAGACATGATGACACGTTAGCTACCAAAAATCATGTTGTAGAGTAAAAAAAAACTTCTATTTCCAATAAGTTGAATTTAAGGATTTTTAACAGCATTAAGATTCATTTGCTCAGCAATTGACATACAAATGGCTTGACAATCTTGACTATAGAATAAAACTGTTTAACTGCTATCTGTGCTTGAGCCTGATGATTCATCAGAAGATGCAATATCTTGTGACAATTATCGGGAAAGTGCAAAACTCTTACTGATTTTTCTAGGAGAAAAAACCATCTCATGGTATACACTGGCTTCAGTCTGGAGAATTTAGTTATTCTCAATGACAATGTCACTAGCTGCCTTTAAAAGTAAGAGCTTATGTTTTCACAGCATAAACCTCTTTATTATCACAGCTGTCTTGTTTGATTGGCACAAAGTTTTGGTAGCAATTCAGGCTCTTGCATGTCAATAACAGTTGGATAAGCTTGCCACCAACACAATGGGCGACTGATGCAGCATATTTCAAAGCTGCTATGTTTGTTCACAGTTGAAGAATCGTTAATGAATTTACTTAGAAAATAATCAAGCTTATAATAATCTTTGCTGAAAAATATAAAAAGACAAAATACAGACATTACTTATTGCTAACAGTTGAAAAGCACTGACATGATATTTCAAATTTCAAGAAAACAACTTTACGTAGTTCTCTGACCTATTTTTATCTTATTGTTCAAGACACATCTCTTTTTGTTTGTAATACGAGTAAGTACTTTAATTTTTTGAAATTTAAATCTTCAAAAAACAATTTCATGACTGTATAATATTTGCAATTGATTACATATAGAAATTTGTAAACAACGAAGAATTTAAAATCTATCAGAAGATCTTTAAATGCAAAAGTGTTTTTTTTACAAAATTGGTATTTACTTTAAACGAAGCAAATACCAATTTTGTGGTAACCGCCTTACAACATCTCTTGATTATTGCGAGTAATCTTCACTTTGTTAGTTTAGATATTTGATCAACATAAGGGTGTTTAAAAAAGCAAGAATTTTCCTCGTCTTCAGACGGTAATAGAACATCATAATTACCTGTATTTTAGTAAGAGTTGATTAAGTATTTTTTCTTTTATCCAAGAAGGGTACATATTAGGTTTAAGAATTCTAAAAAGATTGTGAATATCAAACTGAAGACTAAAGACAGTATAGTTAATTTTGAAACTTCGATCAATTAAACAGTTTTATAAGACTTATTTTAGATAAAAACAAAGGAAAAATGTAAAAGTTGGTTTATAATTCAGTACAGGTTTTTTTTTTTAAAAAAAGGTAGTTTATTGCCGAACTGTTTGACTTTCATTGAGTTATGTCTAAAAAAGATATTTTTGAGTTTTCTTTCTTTTAAATGGTAAACGATAATTTATTTTATTAGATATCATTAATCGTTATCTTCAAAATAATTTAAAAATGAATGATGGTTCTGGTAATTAAAGGTTGAACTATTTTATCTAGCAAATTCATATATATATATATATATATATATATATATATATATATATATATATATATCTGGATATTGTTATTTTTAAAATCAGAAATGTGCTAAACCAGAAATCAAGAAAATGGTGTTGTTATATTGTTATTTCGCATCCTATATTAATACTTGTTTTGATTGTCATAAACCTTCCTATTAGATAGGAAGGTTTATGACAATGGGATGTGCAATTTTATTAATGTTGTGCAATATTAATCTAATTAGGTTGAACTAGTTAAAAAAAGGCGTCATCATTAAAAGGGTAATGCGACTTTAAAAATCTTTAATGAAATTCAATTGATGACTCAATGTATAATAAAATTCATCCTACAGGCTTTCGTGTTGCTCGCATATACGGTCTTCGAAAAATGTGTAAATTAAGGTCTTCTGATGATAATAAATTTTGTCAAGCAATTGTATTGTATATATGGACTTATTACTATAATTTGGCTATATTTCTTCATGATTTAAGATTTCCATTAATACCTTCTGATATTTTACTAAAAAATACACCATTGTTAAAGCTGTTTAAGAAGCGAACCTATTTAATAGTATTCATATATGTTTGATCTCTCAAGTTTATCCATAAACATTCCATTACAAGAAACAATAGATATTGCTTTGGTGTTATCATAAAAATTATACAAATCTTAAAATCAACAAAAGTAATTAAAAAAAAACAATTTCTTAACACAACAGCACAAACGCATATTCACTTTAAGGACAGTTTTATGACCGAACTTGAGGCGTTGCTATGGTTTCTCATTTAGCACCTGTACATGCTATGGTTTCTCGTTTAGTACCTGTACATGCTAATCTCTTTATGGGTAATTTTGAAATTAAAAAGGAATCAAATCTAATAAAAAAATATAACTGTTGTTTTATAAACATTATATAAATGTAAACTTTGCTGCTTTCACCTAAAAAACCCACACATTTAAATTCTTGGATTGCATTTACCTAAAAAAACTACACATTTAAATTCTTGGATTGCTTCCACCTAAAAAAACCACACATTTAAATTCTTGGATTGCATTAACAAATAATCATACTTCAATATTTATTATGTTGGAAAGGAAGAAAACTTAAAAATATGTTACACGTATTTATCAACAGACTGTGTATGTCGGTTACCGTATGATTAATATTTACTTCGTTAAAAGTGTCTACTATTTTTCATCCAAATTATTTTTAATAGTTCAAAAACAAATTTAAGTACAAATGTATTCAATTGTACCTAAGTTTTAAAATTTCTGAAGTGGGTTTCCCTAGTAGTTAAAATATGTTTTAAAAGTATTTATAATAATGTCAAATAGATTAAATTCTAATTATAAACATAGTTTGGGTTTTTTTTTCGTTATAGGTGCTCTGACAACGGAAAGACCACCAAAAAAATTGTTTATAAATTAATAACTTAAAAAACCACTTAAAAAAAGCTCCAGAGCCTTTTTTGGAAACATTGAATAAGTGTGTTAAATTTTTGTTGTATTATTATTGCCTTATTGACAAGTTGTATCATAAACATGTCTTTATAGTATAAATTAGTTAATTTTGTAATTAAAACATCGATTAACTACAAAATTTAACTAGGAGATATTTTTCTAATTAACAACTTTAACATATTTTAACATATTAACTTAAACATTTCAACAAATTAACACATTTCATCCAAAATGTTTGATATTTTCTTATCATTTACTTTCAAACTAGTATTCCTTATTTACTTTTTTACAACTCATTATAACGACTTGTAAAAAATTAAATATGAAATAATAGGTTGAAAATAAATGGTTTCATATATCAAACTGTTACATTTTGGCGGAAAAAGCACCTAAAACAAATTCATTTAATACTCTTGCCAAAGTCATTTTTTGAACGTTTATTAAAAAAAAAAGTAAAATTTGCAAATAATCATGTTAGTTTATGATTGGTCAAAAGTCTACTTCTCTGTTAAATCAAAGTTTATGCTATTTAGTAGTGACGGAACATGGTATGTAAGATATCCGATTGGAAACATACTCAATCTAAAATATTAGTTACCTACTGTTAAATATGGGGGAGGAAATAATAAGGTTGGTTTGTGTTTTAGCTGTAACTATAAGTGTTCCATTCATCACATAAAGATTATTATAGACCAGAGAGGTTTTTTATGAGTATAAAATAACTGGTGAATGGATCTTAAAAAGATGGTAATTCAAATCATTTGTATTTGTGGCTGTATAAAATTAAAATTCAATTTTATTGAGTATGGAAGATGGTAGAGCAAGAGTGTTGGAGAACCGGTATTTATTATAATGACATTTTGAGCTGTTGAGTTTCATTCCATTGACCGCAGAATGTGCGACACCATCAGCGGTTGGAAATTTGTTGTAAATAATGCAGATCAGGATGTCGTCAGCATAGTTTTCCAGAATGGCTTTAGGTAGGAGGTAGGTGTTTATATCAAAAATAAAAAGAATGAACAAGATTGGACAGAGAAAACTATTCAGAAGTACTCCGGTTTGTGTATATTTCCAATCAGCGGTGTGATAATTTGTTTTTATTGTTTGACTACGATTAGATAAGTAAGTTGCGGTCAAAGGGGTAAGTCAGTAAGGTAGACTTTTTACCAACTTTAGTAGCAACTTGTCATGTTATACAAGATCTAATTTTTTGTAAAATCTAAGAATATTCAAAAAATTGACTTATTTTTATCTTTAGCATGACTAGCATCCTCTAAAAATTGAATAATTGCATCCATTTTACTGCGGCCTGGAAGGAAACCAAACTGTTTGTTTGAGACCAAAATGTGCTTGCTGTGATAAACAATGAATTTGGTGATAAAGCCTTCAATAACTTTGAATTACGCCGACGTAATAGCAATTAGACGATAGTCATTCGAAGAGAGCGGGTTTGATATTTTAGGAATTGGTGTTACGTTTACTGATTTCCATTTCCATTCAACAGAAAAGTAACTGTTTTTTATTAGGCGGTTAAATAGGATATAAAGTGATATGTAAATTTCTAAGCAGGCAGATTTGAGTGAAACTGGGGAGATCATCACATCCTGTCAATCCTGTCTTTAGTTTTCTGAGTTGATTGAGAATGTTATTATTTATAAAAATGGGGGTAATAGGAAGGTCTGCTTGACAGTTAATGAAAAACAAGAGGTTAGGTTTTTTATTATTGCATGCAAACATTTTGAAAATTTTCCTTAAACTGGCTTGGTAATGTCTCAAAGATAAAATGAGTAATTCGTCATTTATCGGCATGTATATGATATTTACCTGTAACTACTAATACACATGTATATTGGATATACATGTAGCAAATATAATAAAATGTATATGTTTTTTTTATTATATTGGTTTGTATTTTATATATATATATATATATATATATATATATATATATATATATATATATATATATATATATATATATATATATATATATATATATTTATATATATATATATATATATATATATATATATATATATATATATATATATACATACATATATATACATATATATATATATATATATATATATATATATATATATATATATATATATATATATATATATATATATATATATATATATATATATATATATATATATATATATACATATATATATATATGTATGTGTATATATATATATATATATATATATATACATACATATATATATATATATATATATATATATATATATATATATATATATATATATATATATATATATATATATATATATATATACATGCAATATATACACACATAACTAACTTACCTTTAAATATGTATCGCATTTTAAATCCTCCTTAAAATATAAGATATATGTTAAATAAAAAGTGTTAAATTTTTAAATTGAAATTAAACTTAATGTTAAAAACTTATATATATAATGTTAAATATATATATATATATATATATATATATATATATATATATATATATATATATACATATGTATAAAAATGGACAAAAACATTTTTTACAGTATTTGAAATAATAAGTCCCTGTGTAAAAAGGTTATGAAATAATATATTAAATAATAAACGAACAGGAGGTAATCCCCTAGTGTTTAGGGTGGTAGCCTTTCTACCAAATACTACTTTACATCAATCATTTGTACTCAGTGTACTGTTAGGTGCAGTGTGAAATGTGCTGTCTTCAGTGTGCTGTTACAAAACAAAAATCATGGTTAACAGTCCTTCTGTTGATTATGACCGGCTAAATGTAACTGGTTCTATTAAATTATAAGATGAATGGAGCTATAAACTAAAAAAAGAAGTAAGGGATCTTTTAAGTATTAACAAAGAAAAAGATGATACAATCATAAAACTTATGAAACGAATTAAACAACTAGAATCAAATGAAAACTATAGAAATACAGCTCTTAGCGCATTAAAAAGTCCGATTCTTTAGTAACATTGTAAGCGGTTATATACTTTAGTAACATTGTAAGCGGTTAAGTAAAAAGTTCTTAATGAAGCATGGCTGTTTTTGCCATGGTTGCCTAAAAGACAACTAAAAAATCAAAAATAGAAAAAAATATAATAGTTAGTGGCTTAGATGAAACTGATGAAATGGATCTAGAAAAAAGGAAAGATAATGATAAAAAAGAAATTGAAGAAATTTTTGAAATATTAGGTGTTGATCATAGTAAAATTAGGCGCATACGATTAGACGTATACGTACACGATTAAACGTATACGAACACGATTAAAAAAAAAGGTCAATATAATACCATTTTTTCCATCTAGTGATTTGGTTATGGTAGAATTACTTTATCAAGAAACTAAAAAATGTGTCCTTTTAAATGCAAAAAATCTAAAAAGATTCGAAAAGTACAATAAAGTATATTTAAATAAATACAAGACACCAATTGAGCGAGCATTTGAACGTACACTAAAAGAAGAAAGAAATAAAAAAAATAAAGAACTTCCTAATGTAGTGAATGGTTCTGAAAGGAGGCTTCGCTTCGGTGAGAGAAATGGAAAAAAATTCTTCTACGGAATCAGAAATGGAGAACTTAGACGAATTGATTACCACCCATTCCAATAAGAGCAGCAGCAGATTAATACTATGCTCAAAAAAATATAAAAAATAAACTAACAAATATACATTTTTAAAAAGAAACAAAAACAGTAAATGTCGAGCAAATCAAAAAACATTAAAGGATGAAAATATTAACTAATTAAAGTGCTTTTATACAAGTGCTGAGGTAGCAAAAGTTCAGATTAAGTTTAGATAAAGTAATTGAATTATCATTATTAGCTTCAACGTACAAACCTTATATTATATTTATTACTGAAACTTGGTTCAAAGAAGATTCTTTAGTAAATATTGAAAATTACTATTTACACAAATTTAACAGAAATTACAATAATTCAAACAGAAATAATGGTGGTGGTGTAGCAATATATGTTCATGGCAATATATCATTATTTGAAATAAAAAACTCATCAATGAATGTTACAAAGTCTGAACAAATTTGGTACCTTATCAAGTATGGGAACGAGACTATTAAGCTTGGTTGTATTTATTGTCCACCGTTAAAATCAAAAGTTATTTATAATGCGAAAAAATCAAATAACACTAGCATAAAATTGTCAAACTAAGCTGACGATGAAATAATTCAAAGTATACAAACAGCAAAATAGAGTTAAACAGAAAAATATATACAGGTATACTCATATGTGGTGATCTCAATTTACCATACATCAAATGGTATGAAAATGGTTTTGTACAAGATTTACAGCTCAAAAACAGAACTGGTTCTAGAGATGTAAATCTTATTAACAATATATACATCGATCTAAATCTAACATTTCCAACATTTATCCAAGAAAATAAAATCCCTTAAAATATCTTAGACCCTGTCATAACCAAATCATCAGATGGAATCAAACACATAAAAAATTTACCACCACTTGGATTAGCTAGTTAAGGCCATTTGGTACTAAAATTTAATTATAGTTTATCAAGTAATGAAGATTAAACAAATTATTTAACATTCAAGTACAATTATCATAAAAGTGATTTTTATTCTATTATTAAATGTTTTCAAAAGATTGGGTAAAAGAGTTAAGTAACTTAAACATGACAGTTACATCTTATTTTTGAATCATTATAACTACATAACAAATATGTCCATACCAAAAGTGATATGTAAAAAAAAAAAAAAACCTCTTTGGCTCAATCGTACCCTTTTAATCCTCATAAATTGAAAAAATAGATTATGGCATAAGAATCAATCTTCAAAGTGGAAAATACCTGAGCTTGTTGAACAATACAAAAAATTTAAATCTTCTTTACAAGTACAAAAAAGATTAACTAATAAAAAGTTTAAACATAGTTTAGCATTTGATATAAAAAATCCCAAACGTTTGTTTAGTTATGATAATAGTTTACGCAAAATCAAACAAAGCATCAAATCAATTTGAAATAAATATAGAGTTACTGGGACAGATGGTAGATTCATAGCAAACAGATGAAATGATCAATTCAAATCAGTCTTCAACAATTATTCAGTTAACAAAGATTCTCCACTACTTTCAGATTGTACAACTGAGCGTTTATCAAGCCTTCATTTTACAATAGATGATATCTAAAATAAGTTGAAAAACTTAAAACAAATAAAAAAACGGGACTGGACAATGTCCACCCAATGATATTAAAACAATGTGCTAAAGTACTATTTTTACCTCTAACAATTATATTCAACAAATCACTATCAGAAAGATCAATTCCTCAAGCATAGCGTAATGCAAATATTACTCAACTATTTAAAAAAAGTGATAGCAATGAACCAAGTAATTATAGACCAGTTTCTCTTACATCTATTCCATGTAATTTAATGAAAAGCTTAGTAACCAATGACATTGTAAATCATCTCTCAAAACTAAATTTATTGTCTTGATCTCAACATGGTTTGTTAATCATCAAGCTTAAAGCTTATGGAATAGTTGGAGATCTTCTTGATTGGATTAAAGACTTTCTCAATAATAGAAAACAGAGAGTAGTACTTGGAGAACACATATCGGATTGGGCACACGTTACTAGCGGTGTCCCACAAGGCTCAGTTTTAGGCTCAATACTTTTTATAATTTACATCAATGACTTGCCAGACAATTTAAAACATGTCAGTAAACTATATGCAGATAATTTGAAATTATTGAATGAACTACAAGTAAAATCCATCCTTAATGATACCTCTGACATTCAAACTGATTTAGTTAAAATCACTGTATGGCTAAAAGTTTAGTTGATGAAGCTGAACCTAGAAAAATGTAAAATTATGCATATGGGAAGAAACAACCCACGCTCAAACTATACACATCAAGATACAACAAACTATTTATATAATGATTTAGAAAAACCAGATGGAGAAAAATATCTTGGTATATTTGTTTCAATAAATGCTATATATTTTCATCAAGTTTTTCATGCTAGTAATAAAGCTAACAGAATGCTTAAGATCTTAAAAAAAACATTTATATCAAGGGATTTAATGTTATAGACCCAGTTATACAAAACGTATGTCAGACCTAACCTGGAAGATGCAATCAGTGCTTGGTCATCTTGTTTAGTGAAAGATATAAAGATTATTGAAAAGATTTAAACACGATCAAAAAAAGTCCCAACCATATGCAAACATCTTGGATACAATGATAGATACATCTTAATTCAAATTCAAAAACTAGAAGATCATAGAATAAGAGGTGACTTAACTCAAAAGTTTAAAATTGAAAAAAGTCTAAGCATCATTAATTCGCACAATAAACCTATAAATCCAGCTCAACGTGGTCATCGAGAACAGTTTGTACGCGAATTTAACAGAAATTGCGATCCACAATATCATTTTTTTAGTAAACGTGTTGCTAAGCATTGGAATGCACTCATTGATGCAACAGTAAACTAATTTTTAACTAATTAATTTAAACGAATGCTTGAGAATCCAATTGATCGTTACCTACACTCATTAAATGACTTTCATAGAATCTGTATCCAATTTACAACTTATATTACTATATTACTATATTATATATATATATATATATATATATATATATATACATATATATATATATATATATATATATATATAAACATATATATAAATATATATATAAATATATATATATATATATATATATATATATATATATATATATATATATATATATATATATATATATATATATTCATATATATATTCATATATATATATATATATATATATATATATATATTTATATATATATATATATATATATATATATATATATATATATATATATATATATATATATATATATATATATATATATATATATATATATATATATATATATATATAAATATAGACACACCTAAATATTGTAAATAAACATAAATTAAAAATTCATAACATGCATTTAACATAATCATAATAACAGATCTAAAAACAATCTTACTTTTCTTTCCTGATTAAGTTTTGAAGTTTTTATTTCACCATACTTGAGAATAATTTCATAAGTGAAAAAGTTATTATGACTTGTGTTGTAAGATATTTTCTGAATAAATCCACCAAAGTTATTAATAATAGATACAT